ATTATTGAAACAATATATGAAACTAAATTTCTGCTTTAATTGACATCAACTGAAAAAAAGCAATTCTTATATCAATGAATAATACTGGAGCGTTCTATAAACATGACCAAGCTTCTTAATCCACAGTTATTGAATAGTCCCAAATATTGCTCTCATAGCTGTGTGTGTATATTGGCATTTTATGTGATATATATATATACACACAATGTACACTATTATTTTAAAGTATGGAGTCCATCCTCTTGACTATAATTTCTCTCCAATTCCTTTCCTGCATAAATTTATCCCTTTAAAATTAATCCCCCTGGAAAGCAAGTTCCCCCGCCCCCAACTGGAGAATCACTGATCAGTATTATTATAGTGTTTTATGCACGACCCATAACCACAAGACATATGCACATTATACAAAAGTAGGATACCAAACAAAAACTCGAAAGGCAAGTATTAATAAAAACTAAAATTTAAACTCCCGAGGAACAGATAAACAAACAGTTTGTTTGTCGTATACATTAAAAAATCGATATATGGGTCAAGGTCATATTCAGGCATGATTACTGAATGTCACACAATGATGTATATATGCTTTTTATAGCATTCTTTCATTTAAATTGGTCATAGATATAAATCAAGCAACATTATTTATATATTTTTTGTCGTTGACAAATTTACATCATCAGAGCTTTTGTTGAATAGAAAGATGTGCACAAAACTCGTGACGTACCACACAAAGGAAACAAAGACATATGATTTGACTGCCAGTGTAGTACTATTGCTGATTTTGAAAGTTTCAGACCACACGAATAATCACTAGGGTATGTATTGTGTTCGTTTTTATCAAACGTGTGTATTTGAGACATTTCTAAAAATGCGGTCATGTATATTACTTATAGGGTGGATCCACAACCTTTACGTAGAACATATTGGTGAAACCAGTTTGATTATGGAACATAACATATAAATTCAAATTTTTAAGCATATATTTTAACAAGAAAAAACATATAATATTGGTTGACTTATGAAGGCGTAAGATCTTTGCTGACATATTGACGTAATGAATATGGGATCATGGATCAATAAGTAGGAGTTATTACCTTAAACATCCAGCTGGATTCGCATGCAAGTAGGAGTTATTACCTGAAACATCCAGCTGGATTCGCATGCAATTACATCTCGTATAGAGTGCTATTGTTACCAACGTAAACAAAGAGCACGATATGTCGTTCCGTTCTAGTAACATAATCACCATTATAGGTATATGGGTCATATAACGCTATGTATTTTAAAGGACAATATTGGTGCCAGTCATTATCACATATGTGTTAGAGCTGGTTAAACACATTCCAAATATATTTTTAACACAGAGATCATTGCTACGATAGCTGAGTAAGGTTTCCCGTATCGGAAGTGACGAACGTCAAAGGAAAACACGAGTCGCTGCTCTATATAACTGACTGAAGCGACGAGTGATAACAGATACACGGCCGAATTTTTACTCACTAATAATTCCTTCCAAGACCAAAAGTTGTTATATGGGACTGTAAGAGGATATCTGACAATTCAATAAAGTAATTGAATGTCATTAGATAAGAGAAATAGTCCGTACATTTCCTTGGTTATATTCATTCTATACCTTATAAAAACATGGTAATACACGGACTTTTTCTGTTTTTATTACGTGTTCTCTTATCTAGTGGCAGTCAATTCTTTTTATGAATTGTCAGATATCCTCTCGCAGTCTCACACAACAACTTTTGGTCTTCGAATGAATTATTAGTGAGCAGAAATTCGGCCGTGTATATGTTATCACTCGTGGCTTCAGTCAGTTATATAGAGCGGTGACTCGTGTTTTCCTTTGGCGTTCGTCACTTCCGATACGGGAAACCTGTATTACTCAGCTATCGGAGCAATGATCTCTGTGTTAAAAGTATATTTGGAATGTGTTTAACCAGCTCTAACACATATGTGATAATGACTGGCACCAATATTGTCCTTTAAAGGGCAATGCAATTGTATGATATCGATACATATACCGTGTTGTGAGGGCGGTAGCAATCGTATAGGCCCTATCGTTGATATAATTGACAATACAACGTTATACCTTTAAACGTTATAATACTATAGTTTTGTTTACCACAATGGCTGGGTACAGGGGTGCGAATGGTCTAACGCATAAGATCGGAAGGTCTATCACTGAACAAAGTTGAGTGTATTTGTACTTGACTAAGAGTATGGTCGCCTGCCTATATCGCAGTGGGTTTTCACCCGGATCTCCGGTTTCTGCTATTGCTAAAGAACCCTACGCGCAAGCGAAATATTCAAATAAAATTGACCATATATTAGTCCAGAAATGACCTCGAGTGGACATTAACATCGACTCCCTTTAAACTTTAAACGTTGCTATGTTTTGTTTATCACACTATATAAGTAGACTATAGTTGTTTAATTTCCATTATCAGTTGGGCCAGCAGGCTTGATTAACAACATCTATAACCTGATAGTTGAGACGGGATGAGTGGGAGGTGGTTGAGATTTACATAACAAAACGCCCCGACGTTTTCCGTTAAGTCGCTTTATAGTTTCGGTTTTTCTGTTAAAATTTGAGCTCTTCTTTAGAAATATATTGCCAATTAAGATCAAAATATGGGATCCAATCAAAATTTAATATTTAAATAAAATAAAAGAATATCAATTAAAATTCAAAATATAATATCATTTAAAATCAAAGTATAATATTTAAAATTAAAATGTACTATCATTTAAAATCAAAATATGAATAGTAACTAAGCAACGTCAGCGCGACCCTTGACAAGTGTGATTAAAACACAGGATCTTTTTATCCAGAGTCCCTTTTCCGGTCTATTGTCGCATTTAGTAATTAATTACCACATTAACACAGTTTTATACAATTATTGTTATTACTTAATTATTATTATCTAGCTATTTGTCGCATATGAATAGATAAAACCAATGTAACCGATTTTGTAAGTTTAACTCTTTTTTTTTCTAAACAATATTTATTCACAGAAACTGGATTGGGGAACAGGCAGAAGCCTATAGACTCCCTCTCCATAAAAGTACAAACATAAATATATAATGAAAAGTAAAGTAAAGCAAAGCAGAGGAACGATTCAATTATAAGATGGCTATATACACTATATACACGATATGTACAAACCACAATCAGAATGTTTATATTTCATAAATTTACATACGGAATTTTCAAAATCTTTGGGAGATGTCGAGCAAGTTATGTACTGCCGAAAATATTTCTTCAGAGTTGTTTCTGTCTTCAGTTCCGAATAATAAGTTTTGAGAATTTTGATAAAGTTTGGGAAGTTTTGATATTGTCGCGGATCGTGCATCTGAACGTAAGGGAAAAATTAAAAGAAAATGTTCAGAGTCTTCAAAGTTTAACTTTAATTGGTAAGAAAACCAACTTCCGCTTAAGCTTTTGAATGAATTTTAAATCGCATCACTAGTGGAAATAACATATCAAAACGACCCAACAATTTTTATTTATTTTGATCGAAATCAAATAGGTGTAACCCCTTTAAACAAAGTTGTCATAAAAAAATATCTAAATCGACTAGTCGTATTATAGGTAATGACCATTTAGCGTCCTTTGTTTTTACGCCGCTAGTTTTATCGAAATTATGTGAGTTCTCACTGCTGACATCGAATTATTAAGTTATTATCTACACTTGACAGCCCTGCCCTGCTAAATATCAGTTAATACAACCATACGTTCTCATAACTCAAAAGTCAAAAATACTGTTATTATGTATTAAGCGCCTCAGCATATTAAAACGAAAGAGAGAGAGAGAGAGAGAGAAATGGGGTTTAACGCCCACTCAACACAAACTAGGTCATTTCGGGGCTAACATATGGTTCAATTTCATTTCCATAATTCGCTTGGAGGAAACCGGAGGACCCGGAGAAAAACCACGAGGTTGGACAGGCGACACTACTCCTTGTCACGTACAACCGGGGAATCGAAACCACGCCAGTTGACTCAATGACAGACTTTAAGATACAGCGCGCACGTGCTAACCATTCAGCCATCCAACCCCCCTAAAACGAAAAAGAAATTATGAAATATGGATAGTCTTGTTCAAAAAGCATAGCAAAATCATTAATAGTCTATGTGGCTAAGACACATAAAGAAACCTATAGAAATCAAAAGAAACCTATGTAAACTTTAAGTGGTCATAACTTGTGATTGCGTAAGGTGTAAAACTCTGCATTTAACCTTTGTTCTGGCATATAAATAAACAAACAATTTGTCGTCAAAATCTCGAATTAATTATTGCGTCTATCTAGTTTAAAGAATACCACGGGTGTTCCAAATGCGAATCAAAATTCTGCAGATTCTACATTAAATAAAATGAAATTGTAAAATAAATCCAAACAAGAACAAAACATAAATATTGCTTTTGTCTTGGTATATAAATAATGATAACTAATTAGGCTCTACCATTAGTACTGGACAGCTGTACACCTCACATATTTTTAATACAGCTCATTGAGATCTGATTCTTGATTTGTTGCTGTCATCAGTAAATTATCGTTGCATTAGAGAATAAATGTAATTAATTTGTACTAATGTTATATTCGAAATAACCTTACTCTCGCCGAGCTACCAAACTCCAAACACTCCCCTATTCTGGCTTCTGAAATTCGGTGACAGGTGAAGTGTTGCCTATAGCCTTTCAGTGGAAATAAAGTACAGGGCTACAAGTATACACATTTTCTAGTACGTATTATAACTATTGGCGGTTGTAATTTAAAAAAAATAATAAATGAAGCGTCACCGCCCGGACAAAGATCTTCTCCCAGCAAACACACCACAATAAATAACATTAGCCGTATGCTATTTATTTATTTATTTTTACAAAAACAAGTTATTGTTGGACAAACTTTTATTTCCAGTAGATACAGATGTCGTTTTAAATTCACATCTAAACTTTGAAACATATACCAACATTAAAAACGTGGTACACACTAAGGACAATTTCGTTAGACTTCATTTTAATTAAGCTTAAAATAAATTTAATCGGAAACAGAGAGATTAAACGAGAGTGAGGGAAATCTGAGACATTTTACCTCTTTGATGTTGTTACGAGGGATTGCTCTTTGGCGTCTTTATAATTAAGATTTTAAAATAGTCCAACTAAAACATAAACTGGGGCCTCATCGTCCGCGGTACCTCTAAAACCAATTCCGCTGAAGAACTGCACCAAAAGACTCAGCGTTTAAAAATTCCACTGTAAACTGTCCTCTGTATAACGTTCACAGGGTTTAAAGTCAAAAGTCAAGCATCTTCCTTTGGGCACAATGGGTACTGTCTTGCCAATATGAAAGAAATACGAAAAAGAATGTATTATACAGTGTTCACAAAAAGGTTGCAACGTCCATATTAAATATGAGCGTATAAAAATCTATATGGCATTCTGGCAGATGTTAGTTCTTCCACGATCCTTATGTTAAAACGAAAATAGCACATGAAATTAGCATAATAATTGGCATAAAATTAATAAAGATGAAATCTCCCAGAAATATCTCAGACGTAAAGTTGAAACAGTTGACACATTTATCTGATTAAACAGGTCAGAAAATCTTTCCATCAAAACAATGACCTTTGACATGCAGGAAGGAGTTCACAAATTTCGATTTACTGTCAAAGCGAATCAGGTTTAATGAGATGAGACAAAACAACCATGTCACGTGACTCACAAAGTCCGGCTCTCCGGAGATAACACAGTTTTCAAAGCGCATGCCTTAATTACCGGAAGTGTTAGTTTCTGGTGATGTCAAGGTTTTGAATAGTGTTTGATGTCCAAACAATCTTGTCTGATGGTGTGTCGACCATCTTGATGTCTGTCAAACGCACTCCATATCTCCATTAGCTGATGTTCCCCTGACAGTTTGGATAGAAAACAATGGCGGACAATGATACAAACTTGGGAATGTTTTTAGAATCTGACCCAATCCTGATTTGTCTTAATTGATTATATTACCGGTTAAGTTGAAGAGCATTAAATTCGGGTTATTATTAATGCGTTTACAGTACTATGAGAATTTTTAGCATGCAACTGTTCAACATTTTAAAATTGATATTAAAATAATTTATTTTGTACCGCCATTTTACTGGTTTGTAGATAGAATAACTTTTTTTATTTCATGTATTACAGTCTAAATAAACGTCAAAGTTCTATTATTTTATATTTGATGGGGCCTTCCTGGCACAATCTTAAGAATTATGCCGTGTCACTGGGCAAGAGCTAAAATTTATGCTAGGAAATTTAACTTTCAACCAATGAATGCCTGTAACCTTAACTATTAGAGACTAAGTTTTTGTGAATTAGACCGACCCGGCCCATAACACCCTGGCCACTAATTATAGCTATATTGGTCTGTTTAACGTGGTTACATAATCTAGCAAAGTCATGTAATTAAAAATGGATTCCGTCATCAACATACTTATAAACGTACGGAACCGTATAATGGTTAATAGTGATCAACTCCTTTGCTTTAATTAATCGATGAAATTGACCGAGAGTGACCCGTTTGTCGGAAAAATATTTTCTATTGCCTAAAAGATTGTTATTTTTACCTGAAAACGCCCATTTTCCGAAATACCCAACACCCGAGGCGTTACAACCACGGTTAACAATCGACTATTACGTATATCTACATAAAATAGATTGTGTCAGTAATACGTCTGCTAATAGCAAATCGATGCCTTTGCCCACCAATATATAAAATGATTTGGCATGAAATCGAGGTCTATGGCTACAGAGAGATCATTATACATTTTCCCATTGACGTTAATGTTAGTTATCTTTTCTTTATCCGGTTGTAAAATTTCCTGGCTTTTTCGTTGGTTTAAACGTTTCTACCACAGCTGAAGCATTTAATATCGTAAGACTCACCTTTGAAATAATGCGATATGCAAACTGAAAGTAGCATACTAATAAAATCTAGGTCCTAATCCGTCGTATATTTAAACGTAACCAAAACCTTAATTCAAAATTAAGACCACAGAACCATGCAAAGGGGGTGAGGGGGCTATAAATCCAAGGCACTTTTTGTGGTGTGGTTCCTTAAACTGGAAACTGGATAACCGTGACAACGAGTGTTACGGTGCCATCGTAGATCATTTACATGCAGTTTTGTTAATATTTATATACAAGATGTTCAAGCCTTAAGTATGCAGTTTTGTTAATATATGTATATACAAGATGTTACAAGCCGTAAGTATGCCCAAGCTTGTTCTTACGATGTCTTCAATTCCACTGCAATATTTACAATGAGTAATTTTCACATTCATAGCAGAACTATTGGTGTCTGCGTATTAGCCAACTTGTACTTATGGAGTTCCATTTAAGCCACTTCGAAAAGGCGACCTGCATCGCAAAAGAGATGCCAACTTTATAACATGACGCAGCCCTTCGCGCATTGGGTATTTTAAATGGAATTTCATTAACGTATACGCATGTCTATGGAGACAGAGGTAGTATATATGAGGAATGTAGGACTTTTCATCCACTTTGTTTTTTAGAAAGAGGACATTTCGACCAGAATTATTTGTTTTTTTCTCCTTCAGATTTTTTCTTTGCTGTGTATTTTGGGGTTTTTGTTGTTTGTTTTTTTACTGCGACATATTATTTTTTTTTAAATAAATAGGAACTCGTTGTCATTCTAGTGACTGTATTTGGCGCATGTGCAGTAAGCAGAAATGAGAACCGTTGTCAGACCGGATAGCGTTTACACTACGAAAATTTAACCGTGCCGTTCCTGGCACCGTGCCGAGGGAGAGAGAGAGAGAAATGGGGTTTAACGTCCACTCGACACAAACTAGTTCATTTCGAGACTAACATATGGCTTAATTTTATTTCAATAATTCGCTTCCGCATATGGGTCTTTGGCAGTGGGAGGAAACCGGAGGACCCGGAGAAAACCCACGAGGTTGGACAGGCGACCCTACTCCTTGTCACGTACAACCGGGTATTCGAAACCACGCCAGTTGACTCATTGACAGGCCTTATGATACAGCGCGCACGTTCTAACCAATCGGCCACCCAACCCCCAACCGTGCCGAGACTACCTCACTTAAGTGGGTCACACTAGCTCCCTTTACACTTGGCCGCGATAAGCGTGCCGTTCACGGCACTGTATCTGGCCGCCATAAATATCAAGAAATTGACCCGTTTACATTACTCTAAAATAACGGGTCTCGAAACCGTGTCAGGCACGCCAAATGTACAACTTCGCAAAAAAGTTAATTTCAGTCCCTATGCAAATTACCCGGATGGAAACAATTACGGCGCTTGATATAATTTGAGCAAACATTTTGACAGAACTGGTGACAAAACTGTCGAAGTTCGCGTGAAAAAAGGTCATGGTTCATTTGGAGCATGCGCAGTAATCCGTACTGAGAACCGTTCTCAGACTAGGTTGAGTCGACTGGCGTGGTATCGAATGCCCGGTTGTACGTGGCAAGGAGTAGGGTCGCCTGTCCAATCTCGTGGGTTTTCTCCGGGTCCTCCGGTTTCCTCCCACTGCTAAAGACCCCTACGCACAAGCGAATAATGTAAATAAAATTAAAACCATATGTTAGTCCCGAAATGACCTAGTTTGTGTCGAGTGGACGTTAAACCCCATTTCTCTCTCTCTCTCTCAGACTAGGTAGCGTTTACACTACGAAAATTTAACCGTGTCGTGCCTGGCACCGTGTCGAGACCACCAAACTTCAGTGGGCCAAACTGACATAGTACCAGGCCGCGATACATTTCAAGAAATTGACCCGTTTACATTACTCTAAAATAAAGGGTCTCGGAACCGTGTCAGGCACGCCAAATGTGGAACTCTTCACAGAAAAGTTTATTTCAGCCCCTATGCAAATGAAAACAGTTATGTTGGCTAATTTAGTTTGAGCCGCCAAAGGTTCCGTTCGCGCATGCGAAGTAATCCGTACTGAAACCGTGCTCAGACAAGTAGAAACTAAGGAGGCTTTTTTAAGCCATCATGATATATTAGTACAAAATTATAACAAATAATTAGTTACACGACTTTCCCAATACATAAGAAGTGCTATCAGATGTTCTGAAGGAGTGAAATATACCCTCCACGACATCAATCACTACCTTCAGGGAATCAGGGTTATAGTTTGATTTTGGATATCCAAAGCCAAGGATAGAGACAACGGCCGCCACGACCGTCAACAGTCAATTTTGATGTGTATGTATTACGGATTCACAGCGGCCACCCACTAAGGGCGAAGTAGCTGAAATAGAATACCATATTATGTAGCCTACGTGATATTATTGCACTACTATCAACACGACGTTTACCAAAATGTTTGTATTTTAAAGGGTTGAACATGCAATATTTGATGCAATATTTGAAGAGCTATTATAATTCTGACCATCAAATGTTTTAGGATTATATTGCCCAAGGTAAACCCCAGTGTTCATTTACCATTGCCAATACTGTTAGCATGAGAAATGAAATGAAATGAAATGGGGTTTAACGTCCTACTGTTCTGCTCCGAACTGGGCTAATGAAGACGGGCATACGCCATATTACAGTGTGCTATGAGGGAAATTTTGCCCGGACAACGGCACTACGGCCTACTCTTATATCGAATTCCAATTGCCAAGGGATATTTTACGTGCACGCCAATGTTTACACGGGACATCGGTTTTACGTCCCATCCAAACGACTAGACAGCTGGCCTTGTCAGGCCCTCCGTCCTGCATCACTGACAAAGGGGAACCACGCCGGAAAATCTGAAGGAATTTTCTCGGCCGATGCAGGGATCGAACACCCGACCTCCAGGCTAGCGAGCCAGCGTCTTACCCACTTAGCCACCGTGACCCCCGCCCCCGTTAGCATGAGTGGTTGAGAGATTCTGTAGGTGTAACTCTGGTCCGTGATTCTAAACGATAGCCAGTGATACACATACTTAAAAGTGTATGACTATTACGTAATCTCACTGTTTCTATATAATAATAAATACATGTATCTGGTACTGTAATTCGGAACACATGGCTTCAAAGAAATATATCTTAAACCAGCATATAAAAATGAGAAACAACAGGTCATAATTGCACGATGTTTTAGGACGCGTCCATCCCTTGTTTACATAGTTGATAATAGTAAGTGCAAGGGGATTGCACCACACACAAACAAATATACAAAATAAAATATACGGAAAAGACACAATATACAGACATCACAAACAACAAACGTACACACTAGATCAAGTGAATGGATCCGGGGGCTAGTCGTAAGCGTCCAAAGCGCTGTACAGTCCCGGGCCGTTAGTGCAACATTAATGGAATATTTCCCTAATGTAATTTCAATGTTCTGCAAAGGTAAAATAATATTATAACAGGTTTAAATAAAAAGGTAAGAAATAAAAGCGATGCCCATTGAACAATTATATCTTGATTTCAGAATATTCGTGCAGCATCTAGTAGCTTCAACTTTTGAAATTCAGTTCCAAACTATCGCCATATTTAGCTATAATTAGCAACGAATGTCGTGCACAGGGTGTGTCATATTTGAACTACTTGTCCTGTGCATGCATTTGGGAAATTTGATGACAATTTATGTTTCATATATATTTTTATTATTATTATTTTATTTTTGGGTTCGTAAACTAGAGCGATTTGTTACCTTAAGGACATGTAGAAAGGACAGGATACACCTTGTTAAGAGTTCAAGGACATCTGTAGATGCTGGATTATGGAGATGTCACGTAGATCAAGTAGTAACGGATGAACTATGAATACAAGATATTTTGAGGGATTAACTAAAATAGTGTTATGTAAATAGATGACATCTATAAAGCTATCTAGATATGAACTTTGGGAGAAGACGATATGACATTGCGTGTGTGAGGTGTCAACGCTTATCATTACTTATCGGTCAAAAATAAGATAAGTCAGCTGGTTTCTTTATGATATACCGGGGTGCTTAGGGTATAAGACAGACAATGCATGTGGAATTACGGTGAAGTTCATCTTGAGCAATACCGCCAGAACAAGATAAATAAGACCATATGGCCGTGAACGCCTGGGTTATCCCACAACTTGATAAGTGCTTTCATTTAGCCTGTGTATCATTATGGGACGGTATGTGCAGTTTTCACGTAAAATCTGAACATATTGCTAATATTAAGTTTAGAATTATTTGTAAGCTCATAAGTTCAATATCTGTAAAAGGAGAAGTGTGACCGTTCTCTTGAACTGATAAGAATAGTATGACCCAGATAATATTGCAAGATCGAGTGAAAGAGAGCTGTAAGTGGATTTAAACAACCAGGAGAAATAAACAATAGTTATAATTTATAAGTTACAAAACACGTGTCATGTGTGACGTTAATGAACCTCAGTGTGCCTTGATCAACAACAAGAACTCTCCTTGGAATATGTCAATAGTGGGTGGAAATCGTCAAGATAATACACTCCTGGGGGGAAGCGATCTACTAGACCTATGTACTGAAACAGAAGATCCAGTTTCAGCTATTGATAATAGTTCAAACATAATTATAGACAGTATAGAACGACCGTATTCTACCTCCAAGTCTACCATAAAACCATTGGGAACAGTAACAGCAAATGGATGTGCACACCTATCGACGCTCAACTCTCTAGCCTTGCTTGAAACAGGTGTGTCAGATCAAGAGATCGGAAAGAAAATCGTTGCATCGAATGGTGTTTCTCAATCCAGACCAGTAACAAAACTCAATGATGAATCCAGGTCCATTGTCGATTCAAATTCGAGCTCAATATACCCAGTGGTCACCAACGACAACGACATAGATCAGAAAACACCTGTTGCAAATGGTTTTCATCAAATAAGACCTAAACCTACGACAAAACAGGATTCTGCATCAAAAACCCAGATCAATAAAATTTCTGAATTCAAGGACGCTACAGTACCATGTATCAAAGATTTAGAAAAAGTAGCCCTAGTCGCTGAGGATGTTTATCAAAGTATACCATTATCAGGTACTTACGCAGCGAAAAACATTGATGTTGAATCCAAAGTCTCGACTAATTCTGACCCGACATCATTGGAAACTGTTGTGAATAATGAGACAGATGATGATGATGATGATGATGATCATACAAATCAAATCAGCACAACATTGATTGCTAATGATGGAGTTAAACCAGCAAGATCCAACACATATTTAAAAGTAAAAGAGGTTGTCACTGGCGATGAAAACGGTGAATGGGGCGACGTGGATACAGAGTCTGTAACAGGGTACGTAATTTATAACCTACCCTTAAAACGCATTGCTGCTCAACAAAAATTTTACCTGGATTATAACCACTTACTCTCTAAAGGAGAAATATGCAACTCAAAATTGGTCAGTGACAAATTAGTAAATACAGCCCAGTGAATACCCATGTCCACGCTGTAGAATATATGCATAGGGTGTGTTATAAACTGGATAAATTCTTATGTTGGGTACACAATGTTTTATGATCTAGTTTTATATCATCTTTATTATGGTGTTTGTTAAGCGCACGTGTCACACATACAAGGACCATTCACACACTAAGACAAATTTAAGACCAGTGTATTTAAGTCCTCACTGAAGTTTGTATATTATGTTCAATTGAATATCTCAGTTTTACTGTCCTCGAGTAGCAATAATTGTAGTGCCATCAGTCCTAAAAAGGCAAGTCTATAAATACCAAATGACAGTATTGACAATGTGGAACGAAATGTGAAGATGTAAATGACGTTCTATTCGCAAAGGAGAATCATGCACCCGGTAGTGTATGCGGTCTTATTGACGAAATCTTAAACTTCAGAAGAACAATACATTTTGCAGAACCATCTTGGCTTTGAGCTCGCCCCTCTCTTAGCTGAAGCTGATAATTATCAAGTTAATTGTTTGATCTTGTGTAAGTGGTGGCCAAACTAAATATCTGAGAAGTGTTATGAAAATATCCAGTAATATGAGTGTGGCAGTCTCACCCGACAGTTATTTATATTCAAAGTTAACATTTAACGATTAATTTGCTCTTGTTATACTGTTTTAGATGTTCAGAGACGTCCGTCGACCTTACCCTGAAAACTGCTGTAACAGTGTGCAACTGTATAATGATTGTATTAGCTGTGGGTCTAATAGCTGGAATAGGTGTTCTGTTTGTGGGCATCTTAGATGAATTCCAAGCATCAAGAGCTGAAGCTTCACCTATTATGTCAGTATTAACTGGAATTCTATTCGGAGGAGGTAATTTGGAATTGTTTATATTTTCCCCGGATTCTCCGATTTACTCCTGAAGTGACGTTTATGTTGATTTGACGTTAAACCTCATTTCTCTCGTTTTCCATGTACTTCTTTTTAACATCGACAAAGAAATTTACAGCGGTTGCCAGGCAAGATACGCCCACATTTTGCAAGAGGTGAATAGAGAACCAGCTAAAATAAAATGCGTTTTTTGTACAATCCAAGAAATCACGGTCCGATATGCATGAGTATCGAAAGGAACTGAGATCGTTGTAATGTGAACGTATATTTTAAGTTGCATCAAGATCGGATAAAATCTTGGTATTACATGCTTTTACACAATTTTCGTACAAGTAGCAGCTATTTTGTCGAGCAGTTTCGGTCCAATTTTCACGAACGAACGGACACACGGGCGGACAGGGGTGGCAACAATATACGTCCACATGAAAATGTGAGCGTATAAAGACAAATCTTATCTACGTAAATGACAAAATAAGGCAGACCGTTCAAATACATCGAATCTTTTTTGATTTGGTTAGATGTAAGTATATCCCAAACCGTTCACGAAAGCCTTTATCGATGGCTAGATTACAGATGATTCCAAAATAGGTTTCTGTTATATTTCCTTTGAGGTAAAGACATAATTAGATGTTTATGTAACGAAGACCAACAATATTAAAACGGAACGATAAAACAAAATTCAAGTTTAATTTAATTGACAAAGAAGTGGTATGAAGGGTTCTTGAAGATGAGTAAGCATATCATAGTATACAGTACCAAGCGTCACATATTATAGGTAACTGAAGCGCCTACGTACTTGATTCATACCCAAATCAGTTTGTTTGGAACATAATGTTGTATTGTTTTAATTTTGTAGGTGGTATCGTTGGACCTTTAATGAACCGGTTTAATGGAGGCTACCTATGTATGATTGGTGGTGTGTTAGCTTTTCTTGGATGTTTAATCAGTTTTTTCTCTCCCTCTGTGCCCGTTTTAATTATTGGTGTTGGAGTTATATCAGGTTCGTAGCTAAAACTATATCCATCAGCTGTTATAAACTCAAAGTAGCATTCTCCTTAAATATAGGAAATTAGCTATGTGTTAGCTATGTAAACTCCTCAATTCAGAAATGGTATCAGCTGTTCTGGAAAGAATAGTGACTTGGGTTCTGAAGCTGAAGCCACTGGGTGGAAAATAAGCTCGGGGTCATAGACCACCACCACAGTCATGTTTTGACAAACAAGTGGTAAATTCCATCCCCATGGCGGTGAGCCGATCAGTTTTTGACATTAACAATGGTTGTAAATAAAGAGATGTTGTTGTAGGTTTTTATACGCCCACATTGAAATGTAGTCTAATGTTGTCGTCGCTTCCAGTCCGTCCCTCCGTAAGCCCGTCGGTCTGGCGCCCACAATTGCTTGTGGACACTCTAGAGGCTAACGTTAATATCTGATTGACTTTAAATTTATAAACAGTGTTAAAAGTCATGAGACGAAGAATCCTATTGATTTTCAGCAATTTCTGATAATTACTACCACAGTTATGGCCCTTGAACACTTTGAAAAATCGTGTGGACACTCTAGAAGCTAAAGTTAATATCCGATTGAATTTCAAATTTATACACAGTATTTAAGGTCATGAGAAGAAGGAGCCCTTTGATTTGCAAGGATTTCCATTATGTTACTTGCCAGAGTTATGGCCCTTGATCACTTTGAAAAATCTTGTGGGCGCTCTAGTGGCTAAATTTATACACAGTGTTTAAGGTCATGAGACGGAGAAGCCTGTTGATTTTCAGCGATTTCCGATAATTACGACCGAAGTTATGGCCCTTGAACACTTGAAAAATTTTGTGGACGCTCTAGAGGCTAAAGTTAATATCTGATTGACTTTAAATATATACACGAGACGAAGAAGCCTATTGATTTTCAACGATCTTGTTGACGCTCTAAAGGCTAAAGTCAATATTCAATTGACTTTAAATTTATACACAGTGTTTTACCTCATAAGACGCAGAATCCTATTGATTTTCAACGATTTCCGATAATCACTGCCCGAGTTATGGCCCTTGATCACTTTGAAATATTTTGTGGATTCTGTAGAGGCTAAAGTTAATATCCGATTGCGTTTAAATTTATATACCTTGTTTAAGGTCATGAGACGCAAATGCCTATGGTTTTCAAAGATTTCCAATAATTACTGCCGGAGTTATGGCCCTTGACCTCTTTGAACAATTTTGTAGAAGCGCTTCAGGCTAAAGTTAAACCCCGATTGCCTTTAATTTTATACACAGTGTTTAAGGTCATGAGACAAAGAATCCTATTCGTTTTCAATGATTTCCGATAAATACTGGCAGAGTTAAGGTCCTTGATCACTTTGAAAAATCTCGTGGGCGTTCTAGAGGCTAAAGTTAATATCAATTGTTTAAGGTCATGAGACAAACAATCGAAACAAATTCTAATGGTTTCTGATAATTACTTCATGGGTTATTACTAGTAATCAGATTTTCATGTGGTGTAAATATTCGTATTACTGATAAAAGAAAAAATATGTGACAACACTTGTTAACTGCCCGGACGACGTAGCTGCTGTGGGCTTATGCTTCGTTGTGTGGCAACCTATCTTTTTAGATTACATCAATAACACGGAACTCATTATAAGCCTAAAATCATGCCGTGGCAGAAAGTGGTTTCCGCTTGTCCGCATGAAATGGGACACTGTTTTGAGGACAATGGCGTTGAAAATGAAATGGGGTTTAACGTCCTACTGTTCTGCTCCTAACAATGGCGTTGAAAAAGATGGCAACAAAGGCATCGCAAATGGCACAGCACTGTATAATTTCGTTTATATGCTCAGCAAAACCGACCTGGCTGTGTCACCTGTGAAATTATATTTCTTAAAGCCGTAATCAAATTCTTGAAGCTCCAATTTATTAACTTTTTGATCTTCGATATTGAATCCAGTCTTTTCAGAATCTAAACCACCAAACCCAATGGCTTATACATATATATATATATGGAAGGATGACAAACACCAAAAAGAAACAAGATTTTTTTTTTATCTTAAAACGATTTTATTTTCAGGTCTTGGTCTGACAGCTCCATTTCTTATAGCCTTTGTTACCACTGGGGAAATCTTCAGTACCCGCCGTGTTACCATGTTAACAATTGTAGGTTTGTGTTACGGTATATCTGGGGTTATCTTTCCTTATGTGACGTCAAAGCTTATGGATATATTTGGTTGGAGAGGGGTGTTCTTAATCTATGGTGGTGCTTTACTCAACTGTGTTCCAATCGGTTACTTAAACGCAATTGTTAAACGTCAACTGAAGACTGCAAAGAAGACCAAAATCGAGGACGTCTTAAACATTTCGCTGTTCCGGAAACCCATGTTCCTTGTCTTGGCGTTCTCCATTTTGATTTCAACAATATTTTTACCAACCGTAAATTTTTTCTTTGTTGACATGATCCGAGAAAAGGGGCTTGATGTGGATACGGGTTCGACCCTTTTGTCTATAAATGGATTTTCAAATGTTGTCGGAAGGCTCATTGTTATTACCTTGTCAGTGGCCTTGAAGGTGGACCTTGTAGTACAATATACATTATATTTAGCTATAGCTTCCATAACTGCAACTGGATTTGTTTTTGCTGTTACCTACACTGAGCTGTTGGTACCTTCAATTATATTTGGTTTGTTTTGGGGGATGACGGGTTTGTCCTATCCGTCCATGCTGCTAGAACTGTCTGGACCAAAAAGATATGCATCTGCTTTTGGCTATTGTAACTTTCTAGGAGGAATAGCGGAACTATGTGGTGGTCCATTAGCCGGTAAGTGATTGGCATAAGTTGATGTAGGAGTTTTGTTTAAATATTAAAACATGGCATATTTTAGAAACGTCTATTTATCTCAATCTCAGAAATCAGTCCCAGGAAAACACATTCATTTCTAGAAATGAGGAGGCAAGTTTACTAAAATGTAACCCCATATAGATACATGTACTTTATGTCACTCGGTTGTCGTCTTTTCTGGTTTTTACCAGTCCTTCTGGAGATATTCCTGGCAATCAAGTACAAGTCCTGTGATTTTAAAGATTAGAGTCTCGCCTCTTCCCATCTAGACCTATAGTGAATTACCAAAGCCTAACTTAACTTTAACAGTGGTTGTGAATATCGCGATGGCGGTTAGGTAAGCTCACCTTTTTAGGAGCATGCAGGGTCACTTTCGAGTCGTTTCGAAAAACAACTAATTATGCCTATTTCTTTCAATATCCATAGCCCCCATTTTCTGTTGTTGTTTTTTCAGGTATGATAAAGGATGAAACTGGGTCGTATGATGTTGTGTATTATATCACTACAGGAATGGGACTTCTAGCTAGCTCTATTATTGCCTGTATGTTCATTATCAAACATTGTCAAAAACAGAATTCCTCACATACAACCACAGAAACTGAAGTTAGAGATAAAGTTCGTGGCAGAGTTAAAGATAATTTATCAAGAACAATTCACATACACTCCAACTCTAGTTTAAATATACACAGTATATGATATATGAATTAAAAGGATAAAGAACGTGTATAATTTTAGAAATCAATGGGTATTGTGAAAATAATAAAATACTGTTGTACTATAGTACTTTAAGCAGTTATCTAAAATGAAATGAAATGGAGTTTAACGTCCTACTGTTCTGCTCCTAAACTGGGCTAATGAAGACGGGCATACGCCATACAGTGTGCTATGAGGGAAATTTTGCCCGGGCAGCGGTGCTACGGCCTACTCTTATATCGAATTCTAACTGCCAAGGGATATTTTACGTGCACGCCAATATGTACACGGGACCTCGGTTTTTCGTACCATCCGAACGACTAGACAGCTGTCCTTGTCAGGCCCACCGTCCTGCATCACTGACAAGCGGATACCACGCCTGAAAATCTGGATGAACCTTCTTGGCCAATGCAGGGATCGAACACCCGACCTCCAGGCTAGCGAGCCAGCGTCTTGCCCACTTAGGGACGTGATCCCCTTTAAAGGCTCAATACCACTCTTGTTGTAACTGAATAATATGTCCCAATCTTTATTCTGGTTAACAAATTGTACTATTTTACAATATTCCAATTAATTTATGATACAAATTTCATCTTAACACACCTTATCTAAAATTTTTGAAAAATTTAACATAATGGTTTGAAACGTCTAACGTAAACCTTTTCAAATGAAACTTCGATTTAAAAATATTTTCGAACCCTCTGGACAAGTAAAATAGGATGTAATGGATAATTTACACAACAGGAAGGACACTTAAACATCTAGTGCTTAGATAGAGATATTATTTATTTTCTGGAGCTTTCAAGCCAGCAAGAGTGTTATTGTCCCTTTAAGCAGTTATCTCCTATAGCTTAGACAGTCATATCTTAGACATCCATAACTCAGACAGTGAGGTAAATGAAATGAAATGAAATAGCGTTTAACGTCCTAATTGTCTGCTCCGACTGGCCTAAGACGGACATACGCCATACAGCGGCACTACGGCCTATCGAATTCCAACTGCCAAAGAATCTTTTACGTGCACGCCAATATGTACACGGGACCTCGTTTTTCCGTCCCTTCCGAACGACTAGAAAGCTGTCCTTGTCTTGTCCCGCCCTCCATCTTTCATCACTGACAAGGGGAAAAAACGCCAGAAAATCCCGAGGAACTCTCTCGGTCAACACTGTGAGCGAACCCGCGACCTACAGGCTAGTGAGCCTGTGTCTTACTCACTGAGTCACCATTGCTCCCGATAGTGAAGTAGGGGATTAATTAACACAATCCTCATAGTTATAATGGAACATTCCTAATTAGTGTACTCCACTCAGGTAATCACGGGATGTTTTCATTGGAAAACCTTTGAAGTTATGCCTGCCCCCATTGAGAAATTGAGGTTTAACGTCGGCTCAACACAAACTTATTCATTTTAGGACTAACACATCGTTCAATTGTATTTCAATAATTTGCTTGCGCGTAGGGGTCTTTAGCAGTGGGAGGAAACCGGAGGACCAGGAGAAAACCCACGAGGTTGGACAGGCGATCCTACTCCTTGTCACGTACAACCGGGGAATCGAAACCACGCCATTTGACTCAATGGCAGACCGTATGATACAGCGCGCACGTGCTAACCAGTCGGTTACCCAACGCCCATCTGTCCTCATTAAAAATCTCCACATATGTTGAATGAATAGGTTTAGTTTTGTATGTTGTAATTAAAACAATGGTATGTTTTTTTAAAATTATTTCCTTAATTGTTTTATCTCTTTTTCAAAAAGTAATTAAAACAATATGTTTTAAATTATTTTCTGTAAAGATACATAATGGGAGATAAGATAAAGAGCTGACAGTTCTCACTATAATAGTTAAAAACTAGATAATGTAAAGGCCGTTTGCTGAAAATTTCAGTCAAATTGATCCAATATGAACCGAGAATTAGGCGATTGAAATTTCGGCCTAGCTTCGATCAAAATTACTAAAGTCTGTACGACAAATAACATAGTCTCGATCATCCATTTCATGATTAAATTATGAATATAAGTCGAGCAGCAAATGGGATCATGATCCAGTAAATATCCAGTACGTTTCTGTACATGTACATTTGACAAACAGACTTGGACACCTTGTCCCTCTCATTTCATTTCATTTCTTAAGATCAACTCTCTTCTCTCTACAATTTGTCACTTGCCATTAGTCTGTATCGTCCTTTCTAACAAGACGTTTACACCACAACAATCTAGGATATTCATCGTTTCACTGACAGATCAAATGACACAATCTGTTTCAGTGCAATTTAATAATTGTCACATACTTTTATGGAATACATTTACTGTTTACTACAAATTTACATTGAAACTTGGATTCATTTCAGACATATATATACCTTATCAAGCAAATGATACCAATTTATACAAAGAGATCCACGATGGATCAGTGATAAAGACGCTTACTCCGGAATCCCAAACTGGAGTTGGTCGAGACAGTTACTCAGATTTTTACGTTGTCTACTTGTTTGGATAGTACGAAAAACTGTGGTCCCGAGCTTTGTGGTGGGGTGGACTTATGTTTGCACTTTGAATTATGAGGTTTGTCATGGAGTCAAGTTAGTGGCGCGGGTTTCAATCCCAAATTTTTGTGTGACTAAGAGTAAGGTCGTCTGATCAACTTTGTAGGTTTTTCTGGGCCCTCCGCTCTCCTCTCAATGCTAAAAATCCTTACACACAAGACAAGTGAATTATGGAAATAAAATTCTACCATATTACGTTTGTCTAGAAATGCAATAATATGTATCAAGTGGGCATAATTACTCCCATCTTGACATCACATTAAAATGATATGATTTTACGATATATATTTAGTAAAGTAACGATGTGTCAATGACATTTGTAATAAAATATCATGGTTTAATCTACGCCAATATGTATTTACTTTGATTATTTCAAATGTAAGTAAGAACACAAAAAATAAAAATACCAACGCAGGATAATCACTTGGCCTGGAATCAATAATTATTCACCGAGAATAAAATGATGACTGGCTTACATGTATTACATAGTGAGCAGCCCGGATAAAATAAATTTCAATTCAACATATCTTTGTAAATAATGGAATTGGGCCATTCTTGGATAGATATTGTAGATTGCGGGTGATTCTGATGACACACTGGTACCTTAATGGCATGTCGCTGACAGAATGGGCATCATTAATTGCATGATGGATGCTAGTAAATCCTAGTTAAAACATCACTCAGTAATAAAAAGTACTTGCGTCTTCCATAGAACTGTGTTTAACATCAATCTGTGACCCTTTTCAATTTTCTCGGTGGTAGTGTTGGTGGTTAGAGTATACTACCAGCAATCCTTCTTTATTTGCTCGCAGATTGCTTTCAACCAAGCCTCAGCAAGTAGAGGACAAGGATGAATGCCATCTTTGTACAGTGTAAAGTTGTAGTAGGCTCTTGTCTTGGCCACTACCCCCCGTTTCGATTTGTATTTAGATGTCCTGTAGAGTTTCAAAGAAAATTGAGGTGAACGATGGGTGTTAGAATCGTTCAGAGCTCGAATATGTTTATTTAATGCCAAGACCTGAGTTTGTAATTGTAGGTCTTGGGCATCGAACTGTGATGGTTCTGTGTTTTTTCTTAGAATTCCAGAAGTTGATGGAATATACTGGTGTCTCCAAAAAGGTCAGTTTACATCCAGGATATTCGTTGAGGATATCTGTTAGTTCTTTGTGTAGTTGAAAAACCTCCTCAAGAATACTGTCGTCCGTCGACGTTAAACTGATATAACCAGACTTTGTTTTTGATGTTAGGTCACAGGTACCGAGCCAGACTTACAGCCAAATGTCCCCCAAGTCTATTACCTCACGACTTATATTTTGCTTAAACCAATCAACCCCCTGTTTAGTTGTTCTCCCCCCTAGGTGTCTCTAAATAATTTCGTGTTGAAAGGGGGTGGAATCTTGGTCCTGCAAATACCGACCTTTGCTGTCCGAAAGAATGACAGCAGTTAATTTCCTCTGTATCCTTTTTGATATATTTTTTCAAGGAATTTAAACTCATTGGTTACAATTATAATTTAAAAAGAAAATGTAATGGGTATAGACTATATATATATATATCAATAAAATGTTTACCTGAAATATATATTAAATAAATGATACGCGAAATTTAATATTATAATAAGAAAAATAATATAATTATTATAAGATAATAATGTTTACAAATACAATAAGAATCACAACAAACCAGGCCTTAAATAAAATAAGACACAAATTAATTTATTTAATAATATATTATAGCAAGGCTAAGCTTAATAAATTTAGCTTAGAAAATTCCAATAAAATATAGCACTGAAAAAAATGATATAATCAATTGATAGCTTTAATGAAATTGTTGTGTTAATGATTATTTATTGAATTTGTTACATTTATTTATGAAATTGTTATTTATTGAATAAAATGATTTACTTTGTTGTTTATTCATGAACGTTGTCGCTCTAGCGTAGCAATTTTGTAAAAAAAAAAAACAGGGAGAAAGGGTGATCACGCAGAAAAAATATACTAATCCCGAAAGTAAACTGTGTCAGGTGGACGACTTTACCAACGAGTGTGGACGACTCCACCAACGGGTGTGGACGACTTAACCAGGTGGACGACTTGACTGGCATTCGCTAAAGCACATGCGAGTGTATACCAGACGTAATGCAATTGGTATTACATTAATGGAGAGGGGTTAATGTTGTACACACCATGGGACAGTAGTTAAGTGTGATAAGTAACGTCAGAAAGTTCAAATAATTCTTGTAGGTATAACTGCGTTTGTTGGACATTTTGTGATATTTTTATCATAAATTTACGCCTCAGTGATCACAAAATGAGTTTAAAGGGCCAGTGGTTGTAAAAAAAAATTGTCTGTGAGTAATGTATTTTATTTTAGACTTTTGTATCCAAGGGCCATTGTTCTTGTTTTTGAAATAATTTTTTCATCATTTCAGGTGTTGTGACAAACTGGTGTCACTTTACATTGTCTTTAAATGGAATTTCATTAACGTATACGCATGTCTATGGAGACAGAAGTAGTATATATAAGGAATGTGGGACGTTTCGACCAGTGGACAATTCGGTCTAGGACTTTTCGGCCACTTTGTTGTTTAGAAAGAGGACATTTCGGCCAGATTTTGTTTTTTTTCTCCTTCAGATTTTTTCTTTGCTGTGTATTTTGGGTTTTTTGTTGTTTGTTTTTAACTGCGACAAATTATTTTTTTAAAATAAGTCTGAACTTATGTCATCCTAGTGACTGTATGTGTCTCCAAGTTGATTGAATAAGTTGATAAAAACAGTACTGAATCTGTACTTGTGGTCCATACACCGCATGAAGAGCAAGATCTACTGAGCAATCGAAGTCTAATATAACAGTTGACGGGTCATAGCCATACTCATCTAACCAAACGAAACATTAATTCATAAGTTGCCTGGGTCTTTCTTTGTAAAAGTACGTACACTAATGAAACAAAAACTCTTGATACACGACCCTTGATGACATACAACTGCACCAAACATCGGAATCTGCAAATTTCTGGATGTGGTGTTCCCTTTAAATGCTTTAAAAACTTACTTTATTCGCTTTCAAAAATAATGAAAAAAAAAACAACTGTGCAATAGGCCGAAATGTTTGTTAACCGAAATGTCCTTGGCCGAAATGTTCACTCACACCGAAAAATCCTAGGCCAATCCGCCATGACAAATCAAAATTTCTGCATTAGATTACAATACACCAATGTTTACTTTGAAATGGTTTCTGTTTGATTAGAGTACGAAGACAACATCGGCTATCTAAGCTATACTATATATGTCAGAGAGATTCTTTATATAGCCCTTCTGGGCCGCGATAAATTACTCTAAAATAACCGGGTTTGGAACCCTGAAAGGCAAGTCAAATGTGGAACTCTTCACAAAAAAATTAATTTCAGTACCTATGCAAATTACATGGATGAAAACAATTATCGTGGTTGATTTAGTTTGGACAATCATTTTGACAGAACTGTCAAAGTTCGCGGTAAAAATAAGGTCAAGTTTCATTTGGCTCATGCGCAGTAACCAGTAATGAGAACCGTTGTCAAACCGGATAGCGTTTACACTACGAAAATTTAATCGTGCCGTTCCTGGTACCGTGCCAACAGAGAGAGAGAGAGGGGGAAATAGGGTTTAACGGCCACCCGACACAAACTAGGTAATTTCGGGACTAACATATGGTTTAATTTTATTTCAATAATTCGCTTGCGCGTAGGGGTCTTTAGCAGTGGGAGGAAACCGGGGGACCCGGAGAAAACCCACGAGGTTGGCAGGCGACCCTACTCCTTGTCACGTCAAACCGGGGATTCGAAACCATGCCAGTTGACTCATTGACAGGCCTTATGGTACAGCGCGCACGTGCTAACCATTCCATATCTCTCCCCCCCCCCCCGACCGTGCCGAGACCAGGCCGCCATAAATATCAAGAAATTGACCCGTTTACATTGCTCTGAAATTACGGGTCTCGAAACCGTGCCAGGCACGCCAAATGTAGAACTCTTCACAGAAAAGTTAATTTCAGCCCTTATGCAAATGAAAACAATTATGTTGGCTGATTTAGTTTGAGTCGCCATTTTGACAGATCTGATGAGAGAACTGTCAAAATTCGCGGGAAAAAGGTCAAGGTATCGTTCGCGCATGCGAAGTAATCCGTACTGAAACCGTGCTCAGACAAGTAGGAACTAAGGAGGCTATTTTAAGCCATGATAATATATTAGTACAAAATTATAACAAATAATTAGTTACACGACTTTCCCAAGTCTGGCAGTAATTATTGGAATTCGGTGAAAATCAATAGGCTTCTTCGTCTCATGACCTTAAACATGAATATAATTTAAAGTCAATCGTATATTAACTTTACCTCTAAAGGGATCACAACCTTGTATTAAATACTTTTACGCTATATTTCAAGTTTCGTCAATATCGGATGAAAATTGTGACCTGTTGACAGACAGGTGCGACTCATTATACGTCCAAATGGACAATAACAGTCCGATGAATTCTAAACAGGAGGTGTTTATCGATATTGTAGCCCAAAATATTTAACATTTTTCTTGGAATTCTTTCTTTCGCAATAGTTGACGGTCGTTTTGGGGGTTTTAATGACGTAAATACCAAGGAAAACAATTTTGACGTAATGAAAATATCCGTGACGTAATAAGATAAACACTCATTTCCACTCTATTTGGTTCACAAAGCGACTGGTTAATTGTGTCTGTTTGGAAAGGGAGGTCACTCTGCGATAATTTTAAAGATCGAAACCGAAATCGTAAAGTGTATTTTTTAAATGACTTAGACTGGATAACCTGCTCTAATACGCCAGACTCGCTCCTACGTCACTCCTTTTCTGACTTGCATATTGAAGTCAGAATAGCGCTTGACGTAGGAACCAGCCTGACGTCATTTAGAGCAGGTTGTCCAGTCTATAAATGACTTTAAACTCCAGCAGTGACTAGGTTCGAAATAAATTGCATATCATGTTTGATAAAATTTGATACACTCGTCTGACCGTGTAGATATATGCTGTGTAGCGTACGCATGTGGTTGTTATGCTTGTTTACGTTGTTTTTTTCTTCGCAAAAAACCCTGGCCTGTGTATCTGTATGAAAATTAGTCTCTGTCCTATTCATATCAGTATCAGCCTGACTTGTATATTATTAAAAATATATTACGGTCCATACGGAGTTCAATGAATTGTAGTATTTTTATTCACTTGTTGAAAATCTTCGATTTTGACCAGTCTGATTATGATAGAGTGACCATAGCAACCATTATTGTCAGACCAGCCTTGAAATTAAATTTACTTATTATCTTTCAAATACACTCACTTACTTTGTTTTTTGTGTGTTTCAGGTGTGTGTTTCAATAAGCCAATGGTTGAATTTCATTGTTGATGACATACAAGAAAAAATTCATTAAGATTTCCTAGAATTAGTAGAATAAAGTTTTGAAGTGTAGAATTTTTGGCCACTGCAAACAGAGTCTAGCACCCAGAAAATATTCATTCGCAGTGAGTCGCCCAGGAAATTTAGAGGACTGTTATACTCATTCGACGCCGCTTTTCGACCTATCAGAATCCAAGAAATTTCCATTTTGGGCTACAATATAATTTACATTTTATTTTGCATCATGCTACTGTTTTCATAGCAAGCAAACTGCAAATAATTCTTGCAGTACAAGAAGATATAAAATTGGGATAAATTGCTTACCTTGGAGTAGAATTTTGTGGTCTTGTCTTCCGACGCCTTCCTTTTTAGGGGGTTTCATTTGGTTTGCGCTAGAGAAAACATACATAAATTATGATGTAATTAAATAGGAAGTCACGGTGGTTAAGTGAGTAAGAGGCTGACTCACTAGCCTAGAGGCCCCGGACCTTAAACACCATTTCATTTCATAATTTGATATTTGACATAAATCGACGAGTATTTTAAATCACATTTATTTTACTAAACAAATATTTACTAGATATTTTAAAATCATACTCATTGGCTTAGTAGAATTGTTATATAAATCAATGGAATTTATAAAAAAGTGTTTTTACTTAAATAGCTGGTGTAAAGTAGAAATATACCTTCTATTAAATCATATCACCGATGCTATAGATGCTATAATAACGTATCTAATCAATATCAAATCTTATTCTTACACTTAAACAATTCATTCAATCATGGCTCCTGAAATAAACTTAACACATTTTACATACAATAAATAAAGAGACTTACCTTTAAATCCAAACAGAGTTCCAATATTGCAGTTATTAGTTCAAGTGGCGATTAGATGTTCGTTCGTCGTTCGTTCCTCATGGGGTTTTGCCGACTCGTCTACCCAGGGTGATAACCTAGACAAAACGAAGATTAGACGTTTGTTCGTTCGTTCGTGTCTGAGGTTTCATGTCCACTTCCACCAAGGGTGATATCCTAGACAAGACGATTAGACTAATACTACTTTCTGGTGCTTTAATTAACGTCTGCTTCCACAGAAGTGATGTCGCAGAAGATTTGTCCGCGAATTTAAAGACTGGAATTTCCAGCCTACTTATTTTCTAATAATTTGATTAGTGGATATGTAATCATTTTTCTAAACACCATTGGAAAACTAGAGGTTTATCCATTGATTGGTTAAAAACCAATCTTGACTAACTTAAATCCTTCAAGTGTCATATTGAATTTGTATATAATAGCGTTAAGATGTTATCTATCAACCTCATCATCGATAATAAATATAATATATAAATATATAAAAAGAGCTTTTTATTTTAGAAATTAAAATGTTGTCATTCGATACTCACAACACGTATCTCTCTGAACTATTTATATCAGCAATAATGCTACTCAAGTTGGATTAGCATTCCAGTTAGATTAGCATTCCAGGCATTTAAAATCAGTGAACCGGGCCAAACCCAAACGTCCAAAATTTAGCTCTTTTTTCTAGATGATAAGAATAGTATGACTCAGATAATATTGCAAGATCGAGTGAAAGAGAGCTGTAAGTGGATTTAAACAACCAGGAGAAATAGACAATAGTTATAATTTATAAGTTACAAAACACGTGTCATGTGTGACGTTAATGAACCTCAATGTGCCTTGGTCAACAACAAGAACCCTCGCTGGAATATGTCAACAGTGGGTGGAAATCCTGATGATGATGATGATGATGATGATTATCATAAAAATCAATTCAGCACAACATTGATTGCTAATGATGGAGTTAAACCAGCAAGATCCAACAAATATTTAAAAGTAAAAGAGGTTGTTACTGGCGATGAAAACGGTGAATGGGACGACGTGGATACAGAGTCTGTAACAGAGTACGTAATTTATAACCTACCCTTAAAACGCATTGCTGCTCAACTAATATTTTACCTGGATTATAACCATTTACTCTCTCAAGGAGAAATATGCAACTCAAAATTGGTCAGTGACAAATTAGTAAATACAGCCCAGTGAATACCCATGTCCACGCTGTAGAATATATGCATAGGGTGTGTTATAAACTGGATAAATTCTTATGTTGGGTACACAATGTTTTATGATCTAGTTTTATATCATCTTTATTATTGTGTTTGTTAAGCGTACGTGTCACACATACAAAATTTCTCAAGGACCATTCACACACTGAGACAAATTTAAGGCCAGTGTATTTAAGTCCTCACTGAAGTTCTATTAGCAAAGTAGAATCATGCACCAGGTAGTGTATGAGGTCTTATCAACGAAATCTTAATCGCATAAATGTTTACGATTATTTGTACTGCGATAATTTGTCGATGTCTCATAATTTAGATTTCAAGATTGCTGACGTTTTCTTCAGAAGAACAATACATTTTGCAGAACCATCTTGGCTTTGAGCTCCCTTAGCTGAAGCTGATAATTATCAAGATAATTGTTTTATCTTATGTAAGTTGTGGCCAAACTCAATATCTGAGAAGTGTTATGAAAATGTCCAGTAATATGAGTGTGGCAGTCTCACTCGACAGTTATTATATTCAAAGTTAACATTAAACGATTAATTTGCTCTTGTAATACTGTTTTAGATGTTCAGAGACGTCCGTCGACCTTACCCTGAAAACTGCTGTAACAGTGTGCAACTGTATAATGATTGTATTATCTGTGAGTCTAATAGCTGGAATAGGTGTTCTGTTTGTGGGCATCTTAGATGAATTCCAAACAACAAGAGCTGAAGCTTCACCTATTATGTCAGTGTTAACTGGAATTCTATTCGCAGGAGGTAATTTGGAATTGTTTATATTTTCCCCGGATTCACCGATTTACTCCTGAAGTGACGTTTATGTTGATTTGACGTTAAACCTCTTTTCTCTGTCTTTCCATGTACTTCTTTGTAACATCGTCAAAGAAATTTACAGCGGTTGCCAGGCAAGATACGCCCACATTTTGCAAGAGATGAATAGAGAACCAGCTAAAATAAAACGCGTTTATTTTTTTGTACAATCAGTGGATTGTACAATCCAAGAAATCACGGTCCCATATACATGGGTATCGAAAGGAACCGAGATTGTTGGGATGTAAACGTATATTTTAAGTTGCATCAAGATCGGATAAAAATTGTGACTTCTAGAGGGTTCACAATCTTGGTATTACACGCTTTTACACAATTTGCGCTCAAGAAGCAGTTATTTTGTCGAGCAGATTCGGTCCAACAATATACGTCCACATGAAAATGTGAGCGTATAAAAAGACAAATCTTATCTACGTAAATGACAAATTAAGGCAGGCCGTTCAAATGAACTTAATCTTTATGAATTGGTTAGATGTATATCCCAAACCGTTCTCGAAAGCCTTTATCGATGTCTAGATTCCAGATGATTCCAAAATATGTTTCTGTTATATTTCCTGAAGTTTGAGTTAAAGACGTAATTTGATGTTTATGTAACGAAGACCAACAATATTAAAACTGAACGATAGAACAAAATTCAAGTTTAATTTAATTGACAAAGAAGTGGTATGAAGGGTTCTTGAAGATGAGTAAGCATGTCATACATAGTATACAGTACCAAGCGTCACATATAATAGCTAACTGGAGCGCCTACATGGACTTAATTCTTACCCAAATCAGTTTGTTTGGAACATAATGTTGTATTGTTTTAATTTTGTAGGTGGTATCGTTGGACCTTTAATGAATCGGTTTAATGGAGGCTACCTATGTATGATTGGTGGTGTGTTAGCTTTCCTTGGATGTTTAATCAGTTTTTTCTCTCCCTCTGTGCCCGTTTTAATTATTGGTTGTGGAGTTATATCAGGTTCGTAGATAAAACTATATCACTCAGCTGTTATAAACTGAAAGTAACATTCTCCATAAATACAGGACTCGATAGTATCTAGTTCCTATAAAAAAAAAAATATGTGAACACCAAACATGTGTTATGAAATGAAACAGGGTATTAGGAAAAGTAATGGGGTTTTACCTCCCACTTTTCTGCGCATGCTGTGCTATTGAAGATGGGCAAAAATGTGTTAGCTATGTGAACTCCTCAATTCAGAAATGGTATCAGCTGTTCTAGAAAGAATAGTGACTTGGGTTCTGAAGCTGAAGCCACTGGGTGGAAAATAAGCTCGGGATCATAGACCACCACCACAGTTATGTTTTGACAAGTGGTAAATCCCATCCCCTTGGCGGTGAGCTGATCAGTTTTTGACATTAACAATGACTGTAAATAAATAGATGATGTTTTTATACGCCCACATTGAAATGTAGTCTTATATTGTCGTCGCCCCCCCCCCCCCCCTCCGTCCGTCGGTCCGGCGTCTACAATTGCTTGTGGACTCTCTAGAGGCTGACTTTAAATTTATACACAGTGTTTAAGGTCATGAGACGAAGAATCCTATTGATTTTCAAAGGTTTCTGGTAATTGCCATCACAGATATGGCCCTTGAATCTTGTGGACACTCTATAAGCTAAAGTTAATGTCCGATTGAATTTAAATTTATACACAGAGTTTAAGGTCATGAGCCTTATGATTTGCAGCGATTTCCGATAATTACTTGCCAGAGTTATGCCCCTTTCCCTTTTTGAAAAATCTCGTAGAAGCGCTTGAGGCTAGAGTTGAACTCTGATTGCCTTTAAATGTATACAAAGTGTTTAAAGTCATGGGACAAATATTCTTATTCATTTTCAACGATTTCCGATAAATACTACCAGAGTTAAGGCCCTTGATCACTTTGAAAAATCTTGTGGGCGTTCTAGAGGCTAAGGTTAATATAAATTGTTTAAGGTCATGAGACAAACAATCGAAACAAATTCTAATGGTTTCTGATAATTACTTCTTTTGTTATTACTAGTAATCAGATTTTCATGTGGTGTAAATATTCTTATTACTGATAAAAAAAAATATGTGACAACACTTGTTAACTGCCCAGACGACGTAGCTGCTGTGGGCTTATGTTTCGTTGCGTGGCAACCTATCTTTTTAGATTACATCAATAACACGGAACTCATTATAAGCCTAAAATAAAGTGGTTTCCGTTTGTCGGCATGAAAGGGGACACTGTTTTGAGGACAATGGCGTTGAAAAAGATGGCGATAAAGGCATCGCAAATGGCACAGCACTGTATAATTTCGTTTGTATACCCAACAAAACCGACCTGGCTGTGCCCCCTGTGAAATTATATTTCTTAAAGCCGTAAGCAAATTCTTGGAGCTCCAATTAATTAACTTTTTGATCTTCGATATTGAATCCAGTCTTTTCAGTATCTAAACCACCAAACCCAATGGCTTATATCTATGGAAGGATGACAAACACCAAAAAGACACAAGATTATTTTATTTATCTTAAAACGATTGTATTTTCAGGTCTTGGTCTGACAGCTCCATTTCTTGTAACCTTTGTTACCACTGGCGAAATCTTCAGTACCCGCCGTGTTACAATGTTAACAATTGTAGGTTTGTGTTACGGTATATCTGGGATTATCTTTCCTTATGTGACGTCAAAGCTTATGGATATATTTGGTTGGAGAGGGGTGTTCTTAATCTATGGTGGTGCTTTACTCAACTGTGTTCCAATCGGTTACTTAAACGCCATTGTTAAACGTCAACTGAAGAAGACAAAGGAGACCAAAATCGAGGACTTCTTGACATTTCGCTGTTCCGGAAACCCATGTTCCTTGTCTTGGCGTCCTCCAATTTCATTTCAACAATATTTTTACCAACCGTAATTTTTTTCTTTGTTGACATGATCCGAGAAAAGGGGCTTGATGTGGATACGGGTTCGACCCTTTTGTCTATAAATGGATTTTCAAATGTTGTCGGAAGGATCATTGTTATTACCTTGTCAGTGGCCTTGAAGGTGGACCTCGTAATACAATATACTTTATATTTAGCTATAGCTTCCATAACTGCAACTGGATTTGTTTTTGCTGTTACCTACTCTGAGCTGTTGGTACCTTCAATTATATTTGGTCTGTTTTGGGGAATGACGGGTTTGTCCTATCCGTCCATGCTGCTAGAATTGTCTGGACCAAAAAGATATGCATCTGCTTTTGGCTATTGTAACTTTCTAGGAGGAATAGCTGAACTATGTGGTGGTCCATTAGCAGGTAAATGATTGACATAGGTTTATTTTGGATTTTTGTTTAAATATTAAAAAATGGCATATTTTGGAAACCTCTATTTATCTCAATCTCAGAAATCAGTCCTGGGAAAACACATTTTTTTTAGAAATGATGAGGCCAGTTTACCAAAATGTAACCCCATATAGATACATGTACTTTATGTCACTCGGTTGTCGTCTTTTCTGGTTTTCACCAGTCCACCTGGAGATATTCCTGACAATCAAGTACAAGTACTGTGGTTTTAAAGATTCAAGTCTCGCGTCTTCCCATCTAGACCTATAGTGACTTACCAAAGCCTAACTTAACTTTAACAGTGGTTGTGAATATCGCGATGGCGGTTAGGTAAGCTCACCTTTTTAGGAGCATGCAGGATCACTTTCCTTGTAAATTTTCGCGTCGTTTCGAAAAACAATTAATTATGCCTATTTCTTAAAATATCCAAAGCCCCCATTTTCTGTTGTTGTTTTTTCAGGTATGATAAAGGATGAAACTGGGTCGTATGATGTTGTGTATTATATCACTACAGGAATGGGACTTCTAGCTAGCTCTATTGTTGCCTGTATGTTCATTATCAAACATTGTCAAAAACAGAAATCCTCACATACAACTACAGAAACTGAAGTTAGAGATAAAGTACGTGGCAGAGTTAAAGATACTTTATCAAGAACAATTCACATACACTCCAACTCTAGTTTAAATATACACAGTATATGATATATGAATTAAAAGGATAAAGAACGTGTATAATTTTAAAAATAAATGGGTCTTGTGAAAATAATAAAATACTGTTGTGCTATGGTACTTTAAGCAGTTATCTCCTAAAGCTTAGACAGTCATATCTTAGACATCCATAGCGCAGACAGTGAGGTAAAGGAAATGAAATGAAATGGGGTTTAACGTCCTACTGGTCTGCTCCGACTAGCCTAAGACGGGCACATGCCATACAGCGGCACTACGGCCTACTATTATATTGAATTCTAACTGCCAAGGAATCTTTTACGTGCACGACAATGTGTACGCGGAACCTTGTTTTTCCGTCCCTTCCGAACGATTAGACAGCTGTCTTTGTAAGGCCCTCTATCTTGCATCACTGACAAGGTGAACAACGCCAGAAAATCCTGAGGAACTCTCTCGGCCAACACTGCGAGCGAACCCGCGACCTCCAGACTAGTGAGCCAGTGTCTTACTCACTGAGTCACCATTGCTCCCGATAGTGAAGTAGGGGATTAATTAACACAATCCTCATAGTTATAATGGAACATTCCTAATTAGTGTACTCCACTCAGGTAATCACGGGATGTTTTCATTGGAAAACCTTTGAAGTTATGACTGCCCCCATTGAGAAATTGAGGTTTAACGTCGGCTCGACACAAACTTATTCATTTTAGGACTAACACATGGTTCAATTGTATTCCAATAATTTGCTTGCGCGTAGGGGCCTTTCGCAGTGGGAGGAAACCGGAGGACCAGGAGAAAACCCACGAGGTTGGACAGGCGATCCTACTCTTTGTCACGTACAACCGGGGAATCGAAACCACGCCAGTTGACAGACCGTATGATACAGCGCCCACGTGCTAACCAGTCGGTCACCCAACGCCCCTCTGCCCTCATTGAAAATCTCCACATATGTTGAATGAATAGGTTTAGTTTTGTATCTTGTAATTTAAACAATGGTATGTTTTTAAATTATTAAAGATACATTATGGGAGATAAGATAAAGATCTGACAGTTCTCACTATAATAGTTAAAAACTAGATAATGTAAAGGCAATTTGCTGAAAATTTCAGTCAAATTGATCTAATATGAACCGAGAATTAAGCGATTAAAATTTCGGCCTAGCCTCGATCATCATTACTAAAGTCTGTACGATAAATAACATAGTCTCGATCATCCATTTCATGATTAAATTATGAATGGAAGTCGAACAGCAAATGGGATCATGATCCAGTAAATATCACAGGCTAGCGATGCCATCGAGAGTTTATTATGGTCTGGATAAGTTCATTAATGTCTAATTAATAATTTAGATAACATTTCAGGCCTAAAGAAAGACTTGCAATTGGCAGATTTATCTCTTGCATAATATATGTTTAATTCTTTTATTTTCTTTAATTTTGTTTTATCGTTTACTCAAAGATATGTTTTAAATTTATTTTATTTAATTCTTTTATTTTATTTATCTTTTACACAAATAAAAACCAACAACACTCGTAACTATATTGAGGTCAGTCGTAACAATCGTGTTAGTCATATCGAAACGTATCTGCACATACCTGATCATGGACTCATTATGGGGACAATCTTATCGTAAAACATCGCACGGCAGTGGACACCTAGCATAAGCAAAGTGGAGTTTGTCGCGCCGCAGAAGGGAACACCACAAGTCTTACTTCATGAGTACCTCTACAACCGTAACAAAATTCGGCAGACTTGCACACACTGGTGATGCGTCCCATTGCATGCTCTGACAAGTGCACAACCATTGGTGACTATTGTCTCAATGTCAGCGGATATATCCATCCCCCAGAAGATGTCAAAGTCAAGTTCCTCAGCACACTACATCTTGTAGTATCTTGTTGTGTCTGTATTTTTTGTGTTTGCATCATGTATTGTTTGTGTTTGTGTCTTGTCTGTATGTTTTGTGTGTGTATCTCATTGTATTTATATCTCGTGTTTGTATCGTATTGCATTTATATAGTGTGTTATATTTGTGTCTTGTTGCGTTTGTGTCTAGATGTGTCTGGTTATGCTTGCTTCATGCTGGTTTTGTTGTAGATCTCGTTCGTGTATTTAAAGTCATATAATAGTGCACATATTACGATTCCAATTACACATTATTAGATTAGTGTATCGGGACTAAATTTTGTTTAGTTCGCTGAAAATAAAATCTCTTAATTTTTATTACCTATTTCATTAAATCCGCTATGTTCATTTGAAATAGACAAAACCTAATTTTTAGAAATCAAGGGCGGGTCCAAAATGTCATCATGTTTATTCACCCGTGTTTAATATAAATAAAAACCGAAAAACAAAAACCTACTAATCAACATATCTCAATGACACCGACACGGATTGGTGGGCTTAGCCGGCATAGGTCAAAAAGGTTTCGAATCGCTACTCTGGTCGACAACCAACTATGCTCTTTTAAAGCTGCCCCGGGTGTGCATTTAAATATAAACTATTTGTTTCTAGATAGTTGACAGTTTTAGTCTAAAAATTCATCATAAGATTAACCTGATATTCAACACTCTTTTTCTTTCCTAAATCACAGATGCCCCATTGTCCCTTTAATTATGTTTCCCAAACAACTGCAAATAGGGTGTCGGCCTGTAGGCATATGGGGAAATAACCCCTCAGGTAAAAAGAATGACTCTCAGATCATTATTATATTTAAATATTTGTGTTTTAAAGTGGCGACAGGTACCAGTCTGTACTTATAATCATGTGCACTACGTTCCAAATAGTTCTGTTAAATATAAAGTTTGACTTGATGCTCAGAATGCGCGAGCGCCGAAAATAGTTTGTTTCAATTCAGGCTTCAAAGTCTTGACATACTTTTTAAAACCGTGTCTTCTATTTTCAATATCGACAATACACAGGATAAATGCACGTATTATATAAAAATATATATATTTACAATGTTCTAAAATAAATATGCATAAATGGTGCCTTATTTACGTCAGCTTTCAGGAGTTCTAAAATTGGAATTCTTTTTAAGAGAAGTATTAAATGGCGCAGTGTAGAGATTGGGTAGCGTTAAAGATATTATAGAGCATACAGAAAGAAAACATATTCTATATCTAATTGTTTTACCACGCATCAATTCACTCAACTCAGATCAAGAATTCTTAAAGAAACTTATACATTGATGAATTGTTTTCATCTGAAACCATGTTGAGAAATTCAGAAGAAAAAAAAACATTATTGACTTTGGCGTTGGTCATGTCATATTCTTGAAGGGAATACGTACATGATCCTTTTGTTGATGGTTTCAAATTTACAATTTGTCTTGAAATGTTGAAACTGTGTACACGAATCTTCGTCAAGGATTTGTCAGGGTTGGTATTGAGTACGCAAGAAGTGAAGAAGGGTACAAAGTTAATTAAAATGTCTTGTAGATGGGGTGAAGAGAAGGTTATAAAATGCCAAACATATGTCTGACCTAAGTTTGTCATCCTGTCAGAATGTATAAACTAATATCAACAGAACGTCAAACAATCGATTGGCTAATATATAACATCATTATATGATTGAAACGTTTATTTTTAAATCCCAGTATGTAACAAGGTAGAAACAAAATATTATGTATTTAAAAATTATAGTGTCTGAAGTACCGATCCTGACAATCTCTTATTGAAATACAACTCTATATTTCGTTTCGTTTGTTTTTATACTTTCGATGGCCTCTACTACATGAAGATCTGTCCGGTTCTAGAGAGGGGTCGCTCCAGGGTTCACCCGAGCTGCGTTTGGCCCCATAACGCCAGTAATTCAATTAACCAATCAGTATTGATGTTTTTAGTGGGTATTCAGAAATACAACTTTGGTTTGATTTGTTTTCTAACGCTGTCTAGCCACAATTCCGCGTGCCAGGCGATACGAACTCGACCATTTGATTAGCTAATCCCTCACATCAACCAGAACGCGGATTATTTAACAATTCTTCCAGATCCTAGTGTAGGGAAGACAAATAAAATGAAAATTTGAACTATAAAATACGAAACGAAATAGGATCTGTGTTTTAAGCGGGGGCGGGGGTAGGGGATGTTGGGTGGCCTAATGGTTAACGCGTGTGCGCTGTATCAAAAGATCTGCATTTGAGTCAAGTGGCGTGGTTTCGATTGCCCACTTGTACGTGAAAAGGAGTAGGGCCGCCTGTCCTTCGGTTTCCTCCCACTGCTAAAGACCCCTGCGCGCAAGCGGTATTATTGAAATAAAATTGAACCATATGTTAGTCCTGAAATAACCTAGTTTGTGTCGAGTGAACGTTACGTTAAACCCCATTTTCTTCTCTCTCTTTTTAATCTGATTGCGACCCCGAGACCTTCTATTTTACCATTTCTTAGCTTTCCGTTCATATGGAACGAAGGGGACAGGGGAGTGTGGTTTAACGTTCACTCAAGATTAGCCGGAGCATTGCAATAATTTGCTTGAGCGCAGGTCATTTAAGGAAAATCCACAAGGTTTGGCGAGGGATGGTACCCCTGGACACGCACAGGTCTGGAATCGATACCATGTGACATGACTCGATGACATACACCTCGATTTAAAGTGGACGCGTTAGACAACTCGGTGGCGTTAGCTCACAAACCAGGCGATCCCGTGCTCGAAAGATCCTCTAGAATGCCTTGTATCAATGGAATCGATACCATGAGACATGACTCGATGACATATACCTCGATTTAAAGTGGACGCGTTAGATCACTCGATGGCGTTAGCTCACAAACCAGGCGATCCCGTGCTCGATCTCAGTTTGGGCGAGAAAGTTCCTCTAGAATGCCTTGTATCAATGGTGCAGTGTGGAGTGCCTGGCAAGGAAGAGTCGATATACGGAGGTTCCGTGCAGTTGGGCAGTTGGAAATCGAAAAAAGGCGAGGACAAAAGTTCACCTCATAGCACACTGTCAGTTTCGCTAGCCGGTTACAAAGCCGTTAAACCCCATTGCATTATATGTCAGTTAACTGTTTTTGGCATCATGTGACTGAATTCATGGCGGCACTTGAATGTTGATTAAAACTCGTCCATTTTTTTCAGAAAATTTACACTGGGATAAAAACAGTGTGTACAAAGACACATCTGGAAATGGTTTCTATCTTTAAAAAACGTGACTTTACAAAATTAAAACACGAGACTCTTTCGGCTTTGAAACAAATTCCAGAACACAAAATTCTCAGATTAAAGAAACGATCAAATATTCACTCATCATAGTTATATCCTACAGATGAAAGCTGAAGACCCCATTCCCCTTCATTCTGTATTCACCGCCGCCAATCTGATTACTGGGTTTAATTTGACTATTTACAAATGTGCCCAAAATGTCCAGGAATTAGTTAGTGTGCTACCCCGGGGGAGCCATTAGTATCGAATATAGCACTGTGACTAAGGATGTCTTAATTATTTCATTCTGACAAACACTTGTTGACCACAGTTAAGACGAAATTGGACTAGTATAAAAAGGGCTTCAGAATAATGTTCAGAATCCCAGAGATAGTCACAATTTTGTATGTGAAAGGATAGGAAGGAAAGGACCGGGGTTTGACGTCTCAATACATCGGTCATTTTGAGACTAACATTCGATAATTCATGTTGCTATGGTTATGTGTACAATGCAAGGGGGGAGAATTTTGCCCGAGGAGCGACGTGTCCGCCATATCATCGAATTATTTTACGCACACCTTTATTGTTCTTCCCAGCCGTACGAAAGGGCGGCACTTTACCCCTACAACCCACCCCAAGGCGTTATCCATGACGAATGGGAACTGGTT